AACGAGAAGTGGACAGGCAGCACGAGGCAAAAAACGTGTCTGAAATAGGCGTACTGGGAGCAGATAAAATCGTCAGCTTTGACCTGTTAAGCCCGCCGCACCACGACTGCTGGACAGAATGCGCACGGATAGAAAATCGGAGCTACATAGCATCCGACATCTCCGCATGTACCACAAATTCATCCAACGCCCCAGCCGAAGGTTCTACTAAAACACTGATTAGAAGGCTGCACAAAGGGTTCGACAGCCAGCAAGCGTTAGTCCTTGCCCCGAGTCTTACCTCGCCTGGAAAAGTGTTGTCTATTATTTGCTATCCTAGTTAGCCAAGTGGTTGGGGAAATGGGTAGTGGCATACCACAAAATCAACGCGAGGCGGTCCGCATGTACCACCGGTGCATAGGCTCGTATTTAGGCAGTGACCAGTAGTTGGATCTCAGGGTTTAGGCATCACACGCAGGCTAATCGTTGGAAACCTTCCAAACGGAATTTGTCACCGGAAAACAGCTGTGTCAAAAAGAAATATCATTATTACAAAAAACTTTTGATTCATTTTTTACCTATGAGGAGCTTATTGAATGAAAATTGTCACTTTATGTTGGCTTATGCGCATCGGTTACAATCTGTATTTGCCCAAGATGTAATGGGTCTATTGTGCAATCTCCGGTGACTTACACGGTTTCTGTATGCCCGAGCTGTGCGTGCTGTTGACAAACCAGTCGTACCCAAAGCACCATCCAGCGATTATGTATAACGTCGCAAATGACGTATTTATCGTCCAGATCCAATTGGTATGAGACGCACCAAATAGAGATTGTTTACGGAGTTGTGATGATAGCATAAGCCTAAATAGGAGCCTAAAGCCATCAAATATCGCTTCCTCCTCAATAACATCATACTGTGACCAGAAAAGACACGAATCTTAACGTCAATTGCCACCACATATTGCAAATACCGACTACGATATCCCGTCACATGGTCCACACTCACCCAGGAATTACTTTCATTTTGAAAGAAATAAACATGTGCACTTGAAGACTTATCAAGTATTTCTGTACAAAACTGATCATATGTCTGAATCACAGAAACATTCAGAGCCGCTCCGCCTGCCATCTTGTTCCGCACACCGTCAATCATTCCGCCGGAATGAAGGTCACTGTGGTAGTTCATCACGGATTCAAGGATTCACGGATTGATACACAGGATCGAGGCTTTTGCCCAAGTTTCCCGGGTCGGTTTTGTTCTTGTCGGTCAGTGGCTGTTGTTCACCTGAAAGGCACAAGTGAAAAAAGGGTGTAGCACTGCTCTTTATGTTCTCAGCGCGGGGCAGTATGCTCGCCAGCGCGAGGATTCGCATAAA